GGAAGTCACGAACATTCCATTCTTCTTTCACAGCGGTTCCACAAATAACCAAGACACCTCCATCTGTTTTTGTCATCAAAGAAGGTGAAAATGTAGTTATTCCATACCAAACATCAGGATTCCCCAATCCAATAATCACGTGGTACAAAGATAACAAAAAAGTGGACGARTCCCTTTATGCCACTGGTACTCTACGAATAACTGAAGTAAAGTTTGAACATCATGGTCTTTACCAATTAAAGGCAAAGAACTTTATTGGTCAAGCAAGAGCGCTCATGAGAGTCGTTGTAAATGGTAATGTTAATGAAAATTATATTTGAATTTCCCAAAGGGTGCAGAATATCGATCGATATACTCAAGGGATAACAAGGACCTCGTCAACTAATCCCTTCAATGGTCTAAAATTTTTAAAAAATTAACCTTATCCGTATCAATCCTAGATTTGAAAAAAATATAGATAGAAGATAGATCGATTCGCAATTTGTTTAAGCACTGTTTAGGAAATTACTGTGCTTTGCTTACAATGCTAGCTACAACACCCATACGGATTGAAAAAAAAATATTTACTTTTTAAATTAAAATGATGATAAAAGATGCTAAATYAYTGCCATTATCACCTGCGSGATCAGGCCTGTTTTAACTTATTTTCTTTCTTGTTTTCTTTCTTCAGTTGCCCCACGATTCGTGGTTCAGCCTCCAGTTTACATGGCTGGTTATGAAGACTGGGACACGACCATCACATGCAACATCTTCGGGTTTCCTGCTCCACGATTCGAGTGGACACGAGCATTACAAGCCTTGCCCAAAGGACGTCATGTAATGTCTGGCAATCACCTTATCATCAAGAAGACAAGAAGAGAAGATAAGGGACCTTACATGTGCAAAGGAATCAATGATCATGGCAACACATTCGCTTTGGTGGTYCTGACTGTACATTCTGTCTGTAAGTCTTGAAGGGGGAGGGAGACAGAGACAGAAAGAGGATGGAACTAAGGAAAGAAGGGAGGGAGGGGAAGGGACTACACCCTGGTGTTGTGGATATTCCTATTTTCATCCATTTAGACAAGACCAACTGTTGTGCAGCATTGTTACCTGCAATCCCTTAAATAAGTGCACTTAACATACTTTCAGTTCCTCCTGCCATCAGTCAATCACCATCTAATCACGTTCTTGTGAACAAAATCCTGAGCCGAGTCAAATTGAACTGTTCGGCTACTGGATCACCACTGCCAACGATCGAGTGGAGCAAAGATGGCCTACCTGTATCTGGGAACACTACAGTTCGCCAGACCAATAAAGAAACTGTAGGCGAGTTGGTCATTGATCCGTTCATGCCTCAAGACCAAGGACGATACAAATGCTTTTTTAGAAACTACGAGAATGGAACTACAGAAGCCGTAATACAAGTCTGTAAGTACAGGACTAACAGGTAGCAATAAATGTCGYTAGAAACCTTTTCCCCATATCGAATTCTTTGATTTCAGCCTTATAGATGGTACAGTGAAATTTTTTACAGCTTTTTTAAGTTTAATGTAATGCGACCAAACAATTATTTCAAAAAAAAAAAAATAATGCAAAAAAGATGACAGAAGTTGGATGACAGGCACATAATKCGCTTTTGCTAGTGGACCACGGAGCAAAATGACCTTTTTTTCCAAAATACAAATGGAGATTTGAAACGCGTATTAAAATACTCCACTTGTAGAAACTATACACAAAACATACATAAAACTTCAATGCACTTCCTGGATAAGTTTTTTTTTCTTTTGTAGCTTTAGTGAACTGTGGAGATCCTGGCCAACCAGTGAATGGCTATCGCACTGGCAATGAATTCTGGTCTGGAAAGCTTGTAGTTTATGCTTGTGATCCTGGTTATTACTTGGTGGGACCATCCAACCGACTTTGTCTGGAAAATGGTGCATGGAGCAACTCTATTCCAACATGTAGGTTTTTATCCATTCCTAATCTTCTTTCTTTCCAGGAAAATGTTTTATAGATTTCATTTGGTGGTATGGATTTGTGTATTCAGATTTTTGATGGTATGGTTTAATTTTTTTTTCAATGATATTCCCAAGTTCTAACATCATGTCAGTTATGACTACAATGATGTCACTGTTTTTTTGCTTTTTCGTTCTCACTTGGAATGAGAAAGTTTTCATACGAAATGGCCAAATAGGATACTTAGATCACACCAAGATTTTCCTCCTCGTTGTTTTCATCATTACCATGACAATGGTATCATCAATCACTTTTCATATTAATGTACCACATCGTATTTTCCATCTTAAGGTCTCCGTCTTTGTCCCGAGATCATGCCTCCTGAGAATGGATACATTGTTGGTCACTTCCTGGCMAACAGAACTCTCACTTTCAACTGTAAACCCGGTTACTGGATCCGTGGAAACCGCCAACTTGTATGTGATCCCAGCWCAGGAAACTGGACWGATTGGAAAGGAAATTTTACCACTAGAGCAACAAACTGTACAAGTACGTGCATGAMAGTATAAGAATTCAATTAACATTTTGGGATTGTTAATGTACAAATTTGKCTTGGAAATTTTTTAGGCCATACGATGCATTCAAACATCCTGGAAAATMGAGAGGATTACTACGATTTGATGAGAGAATGGCTGGCTCCAGTGACCAGCATGCCAGCAARATGGGTACCATGCTACCAAAGTAGAWWTCACGGWTGGTCMAGCAGCACATTCCATTCTCAGTGTAACAGTAAAGGYCCRACTATTACAATYATMAAAGTGAAYRAATACATATTTGGAGGCTATACAGACGTCGACTGGCGTAAGTATTCCAGCTGTTGATGTAGGCTTCTACAAGACAAGGTTTATTTGAGTGTTGGAAAGAAAGGAAGGAATAAGAGAATACTAACATGAACCTCGTCACAGCAACGGAGGAAAACGCATGCACAGACTGCCAGACTACTCCTCAATCTCGCACCCAGAGCCCGCGTTACTTTTGGTCTGGGACAAGTACTTGTACTACTGTTTTTCGTCGAGCTTGCGCAGTAAGAGCGACAGGGGCTCTGGGTACAAGATTAACTACACCTCATCCAAACGTTTGCAGGCCAACACAGCGATAACAGTAGCAGCGAATATTACACAAATTATATAATACTCCAATTTCGAGTTCTTGTTTGCTCTGTGTTAGCCTCAAAACCAAGTAACATATTCTTTTGTTTATTGATAGCCCGAGAAAACGCATGGAATTTGAAAAGAAAAACAATAGAATTGATTTGAAATCTCACACTCTTATTCTCACAATTAGGAATATTTTGCGCACAAACGAGGCTAACACAGAGCATTGTAGAATTCGAAACTGGATTATAGAAAATACTGATTTTTGTACTTCCAGAGATCAGAGATAGTTCTGACACCCTTTTGACAACAGTCCTCATGACGTATTATCCATTGTTTTCAGATTCTGGGGGGTCTTACAGCAGATCAGTCGACTCGTTTCTGTTTTCTTTCGTAAACCATCACAACCTGAAGCCGTTTAAAACCAACATATTCGATATAGAYAACGCCATATATGGAAATGGTGGCTACGGACCGACATTTGGAGACCATGACATATACGTCAGTAATGATGCTGGAAACAACAGGAACTCCTATACACATCTTGGGAATGCCTATGTACGGATTAAGGACTATAGAGCTAATTCAGGTGAAGTGAAGAGCCTTTTTACAGGATCATACAACTTTCAGCCTGACGAGATCGAAGTATTTCGGCAGGATGACGCAGAGATCTAAGTGGCCAAAACAAATATAAGCGAGTGCTTCATCATCGACTTGCAGCATCCAAAAACATAATTAATTGGATCTGTCAAAAACATCATTTAGTGAGTTAGATAGGCATAAAACACAAACAGAAAAAACGCTGGACAGACCAATAACTAGATGAGTAGGCGGAAAAAGAAGACCTGGAAAACGAACGCCCCTAAGATTTTAAAATCGTATACCCCCGATGATTATATATATAATGGGCGGATCCCAATCAAAACCATCAAGATAATTAGCAAATACAAACTAAATTAATTACAAATTTAGCACAGAAATGCAAATATCATGGGCTAATCGTAATTGCTTATTACTTATAATTATTCATAGCATTTTTTTTGATAAAGATATAAAGCAATGATTTGAATAGCCGATTTGCGAATTTCGCTTAAGTTGTCAAACACAAAAGAATCAAGACGAGGCGCCGTGCGTAAACCTCAGTCAATCGTAAAAAAACTATTGTCTTTTTACGAAAGACTGAGCATTATGCACGTCGCCTCGTCTTAATTCCTTTGTGTATGACTACCGAGGCAAAATTCGCAAGTCGGCCATCTGTTTATAGATATAACATGCGMCATTATGTATGCTAAATATAATCTGGCGTAGAACAACTTAAATTTGTGTCTGATGYCCTTATCCTCTCCCGAATTKCATTTTTTCTAYTGMTGTTAGGATTTCTTGAGGAAACAATGAGGAAACTATGGAAAACACGTTWRRAACGCCTTATATGGGCACTAAGTCTTAGTACTCAAAGGAGCTTTAGATGCTGTTTCTGGTATAAACACTAGTGAATGAGATTAATTTACAGTCTACCTAACAATTATTCTAAATCATACCAATTAATTCGAAAACAGTTCAAGTACAGAACAGGAATATTCAGAATCTTTCATAATTTCTTGTTTCCGATGAGGTGTTTAAAATGCAGCCAAAAGATTATGATTAATTAAGAACATTGTTGAGTTGACATAACGCAAGAGCCATACAAATACATCAAACTTTTCCTGTTTTTTTTTTATATACATTATTTTTGAAATTCTATAAACTTGGAAGTTACTGCCTATCCCTGAACAAGAATACGAGCTTGCTCAGTTGTAAAATCGCTTTAAACCCTGGACAAATGAAAAATGCTAGATCTCCAAACACAATCAACCATTGTTAGAAGACCTCAACTTTTAACATTTCGGCCAGTTGTTTTGATAGCTTTACATTTTCTGAAATATGAAATCATGTTGCATTGTGGTCTAGCTTCAGTACTAACAGCGCCATATTTGGCTACATGATCAAAATACGTTTGTACTAAATGTAGAAAGCAATGCCATTTCGTTTAATGCTCTTTTATTAAAGGCCCGATTTGTCGTTGCATGAAGCATTAAACATGCTGGATTGTATTTGCAGACGTTTAGCCACCAAAGAATGTGTATTAGACAAAGTGAACAATGAAAAAATAAATAAATAATTGAGCAAATAAATGTAAATTTAATTTATAGATGCATAAGTGAATGTTAAATGAAAATACTCGGTATTAGTAGACTTTTAAGACCTCAGAGCCTTGGCTATAACCTGAGTCAAGCAAGACGATTTTCACACATTACGGAATAAACTCCCGTGCATTTGGCCATTTTGCACAAGTGTAATACACCCTTTTAATACGTCCCGAGGTATTGTGTTCTCCGCACTTGACGTCAAATTTATTCTTTTGAATTCCTTTTGTATTGTAAAAATTTCAAAAGAATAAATTTGACGTC